CCTAGAAATCACACAAAGATGGCAACTGGCTTTACAAAGTTGTCTTGTGAATGCCATATGTGTGGCATATGTGCCCACATGTGCCTGCTCCCCCACAAATAGATAGATAGATAGATAGATAGATAGATAGGTAGATAGATAGATAGATAGATAGATAGATAATTTAGAGAGGAATTGGAAACTTCATAGGTTGCTGGTGGAAATGAGAACCAGGGCAGCCACTTTAGAACAGTATGACAGCCCTCAAAGTTAAACACAGCATTCTCTTAGGCCCTAGCACTTCCACTAATATGTCTGTAGCCATGAAAGCAGCAAACAGTTACATGTAAAAACTTCTACATGCATGTTTATAGCAGCATTCTTCATTAATATCCTTAACTGGCAAAATATAAAAATAAAATTCTAAAATACCCATCAATGTTGGAAAATTCCTAAAATGTGATATATCTCTATGATGCAATGTTATTTGGCAATAATTAGAAATGAAGAATTAACATTCATACAATGGAGGAATTTTGATATTACATAAAGGATACCAGCTACTAAGGTCTACATGTTGTGATTCTATTTGTTCAAACTGTCCGACCAAAGCAAATTTTCTAAGACATAAAGTAGTTAAGGGGCTGCCAGGGGATTATGGGGCTCAGGATGAATAGGAAGTGATGATCAATGGATATGAGGGTTATTTTAAGGGCAACAAAAATGCCTAGATTGATTTTGGTGGTGGTTGCAAGTTTTATGAATACATGGAAGGCCACAGAACTGTGTGTTTTGCATAGAGGAACATGGTAAACAGATAAATGTGTTATGGTGAATAATACCTTAAGAAGCAATGAGTTTAGGGGCAGCAGATAGGCTGATGTAGCTCAGCCTTACACCCTTGCCTAGCAAATACTAAGCTCTGGGTTTGATCCCCAACACCAGGGGAAAAACTGATGTGGCCAAGTGCCCCCAATTCTTATTGCCCTGTTTGTGGCAGGGAGACTGCTAGAACAAGGCACACCTTTCTGGCTGTTTCTTTAAAGACTCAAATTTCCATCCTCCCTCTAGGTTTGCTTCATTAATCAGACAATATGGTTGCAATACACGCTTCTGAAAGAAAGTCATTTGGTATCACATTTTAAAAATGGCAGTGACTCATGGGACAGGATAAGGGAAAGCAGACTGACAATGACCTGCTCTGATGAGCAGCTTCCCAGCAGATGCCCAGGGAAAGGGGCCAGCAGCGCAGAGCTCACACAGCAAGCAGATGAGGTTCTAAGAAGGGGGGAAACTGGCTATTTGCTGGGAGTTTTGTCCTCAGAAAGGACCTAAATCACCTCCCATCACTCCTGCGGCCCTTGGCTGTGGACTAAAATGCACTTGCTAGGTGCCAGCCCATCTTCTTTCCTCCCTCCCTCCCTCCCCCCCTCCTTCCCTCCCTTTTTCTTTCTGTACAGGAAACTGAACCTAAGCCCTCTCACATGCCAATCTGTACTACTGAGCTATATACAAAGCATTCAACTTACTTCTTTATTTTAAGATAAGGCCTCATTAAATTGCCCAAGCTGGCTTTGAACTTAGGATCCTGCTGCCTCAACTTCCCAAGAAGCTGGTAACTCAGGCCTGTAATACCAGATCCAGCTAGGTGCCAGCATTTTGTACTTGTTTTTTGTTGTTGTTTTAATTGTCTTCTTTAATCTTTACATCAACACTCTCACTGAGGTGTGATCCTCATTTTACAGAAAAGGAGTCAAGCTCAAACTCCACAGAACCTGCCTTGAAAGACATCCCACTAGACTGTAGGCAGAGCAAGCAGCCAGAGGTGCCGACTGAAGAGTCAGCCTTCTCTGCCATCAGTCCCTTCCCAGTACAAGGGCACACAGGTTTACTCCTACAACTGCTCAGGAGGACTCAGAGAAGCAGCTTCTAGAGGATTCCAGCCCACCTCTCTGGCCTCAAGCCTCCCCTGGCAATTGGAAGGATTTGTGGTCTAAGTCCCTGAAGTCAGAGGTAGACAAAAATCCATCGTCACTCACCAAGACAGACACAAGCCTCAAGATAATTTGTTTTCCAATGGTTTTGGCTTAGAGTTCTGGTTTGGCATTGGCTTTTTTTAACAACTAGCAGCTGTAGGCAATTTTCTCACACACAATAGAGACATCAATAAGCAAAGAGTGGAATTTTCTCCTTTTGAATGCAAAGTAACAATCAGTCTTCAAGATATACATGGAGCTGCCACCGCCAGCTCCTGGGAAGGGTTCAATTCAGGAATCTTGACAGAATATGCTGGAGCCAGCACAGATGCAGACTACATGGAGATACTAGCTCTTCACTGGCTCCACAATCCACAAGGTCTTCAGCTATCAGTGGCACACCTCTCCTCAGGTTCATGATCAACTGTAAAGTCCTTTGAGCAGGAAATAAAACCAAGCCATAAATGTACCATTACTGCCTTTCTCCATAGCTATCATGGCACATGACTCACAGCCCCTCCCTGGAGAGGACTATGCATTACCCATCCATCTCGGTGACCTCAGCCTTGGCCATGTGACTAGTGGTGCCAACCTCTACAAAAGAATGACAATTTCTAAGCCTGTGTTTTCAAGCATGTCTATGTGATCTGCATTGGTAATGAAAGGTGGGCCCCAGTGACATGCTACTTACAGACTTAGAGATTGTTGCTTCTTTTCCTCTTGGGAAGAAAGTGGCAAGGAACAGAACTACTGACCTGGGGTGAACATGTAGCACTAATGCAGGCTAAGGCTTTCCCGTTGGAACCAAGGTTTCACTGCCATAGCAGAAGCCTCCCCGCCTTTCCTCCCAGCCTTCTGAAAGTCTTTCCTGACCATATTCCTCATCACCTGTCGTACACCCCACAGCAAGTATTCACATGATCCCTGCAGGGGAGCTCTGTGCTTGTATGTTTGATGATGTTAGAACCTCATGATTGATCCCCTCTGTGCTATCAGTAACTGAACTTATCACAGTTCTGAGGGCCAAGTCTAACTTTCTATGTGTGTGTCTGCTTTGTTTTATTTGAGACAGAGTTTCATGTATCCCAGGATGGCCTCAAACTTGCTATGGAGTCTAGGATGACCTTGAATTTCTGATCCTCCTGAGTCATCATGCCCAGTTTATGTAGTGTTGGGGACTGAATCCAGGTGTCATAGTTTATCTTCATTGTCGACTCATTAAGCTTTAGAATACACCATGGATACACAAGTCTGGGTATGTCTGTGAGGGCGTTTTCAGAAAGATTTAACTGAGCAGGCAAGACCCACCCTAAATGTGGGCAGCAACATTCCATGGGCTGGAATCTTGGACTGACACAAAGGGACCACATATAGACACATGTGACTAATAATTGTGCCACATTCCTGCTACCCTGCCTTCCTGTCACTGTGGACTAAAGCCAAAGAGACACTTCTCCCTTAAGTGGATCTGTGTCAGGTTTTACAGGGATGAGAAAAGTCATACATCAGGGTATCCTGTATGCTAGGCAGGAACCCTACCAATTAAACTATATCCCGAGCCACCTGTGCATGCGTGCGTGCGTGCGTGCGTGCGTGCGTGCGTGCGTGCGTGCGTGTGTGTGTGTGTGTGTGTGTGTGTGTGTGTGTGTATGTGTGTTCCAGGCTCACTATGGAACAGAAGATGACCTTGAATTCCCAGTTGTCCCAGCTCCATTTCTCAAGTGCTAAGATTGCAGGCATACCCCATCAGAGCTGGCTTTAGCTTTTATTTTGAGACCTAAGATCAAGTTCTTCATAATGTAGAGAAGGGATAAAATATTCAATATCATAAAGTATAAACATGCAATCATAAGCTATCTCTTTTTATCCTAATCAACTCTGCTCAAAAATAGGCTCATTTCTCTCCTCGGGAGACCAAAACGCAAACCTCAGCTCCACAGACTCTCGCTGGCTCATCTTTCCATTTCTGAATTCTCATCTGTAGACGGAACAACACTGTCAGTCCCCTGGCAGGCAGTGACACAGCCTATTTTCTGCCCTAAGAATCAAGCAAAAGACCACATTCTCTAGTTCCTGCCGCACAATCACATGGCCCAACAAGAAGAAACTCTACTAGGAAATACTGGCCATAATCAAAGGAGGATACAGCACACCTGGGACTCCACTGAACACCTTGAGGGGTCAGACAGTAGACCCCACCCACTGCGACCTGATCTGGCTTAAACACTGAAGTCATTCTGAGAGACAGTGTTTCCCCTACAGTTTTCTGAAACTGGGATCTGAAAAATAACATGGCGTCTATACTTAAGTAGGCAAATCCAGAGTAGTGAATTCTCTCTACTAGCTCTCTTTAAATTATGCCATAAAGGTGAAGAGTCCACTTGCACCTCTTGATGAACAGGATCTACATGGTCTATATCATCTCATTTGAGGACAGTGATCTCTACAGTGTGATGGTATCTATAAAAAGTTTCCCACAACAGCTGTTACTCCAATCCTATCATTAGTCTAAGTAATGATACTGCACTTAAGTACTAATGTCTTTTCACCAAAGTTCAAAGACAAATTGGGAAGCATGACTAATTTTCAAACAGCACTAATACTACACATTGGGAAAGGAGTGGGGGGATGCGGAGGCATCCCAGAAGGTGCAGTGTAGATGCAGGAGTTACACACATAAGTATAGACTTGAGGAAGAACAAGGATGAATTAGAAAGAGCAAGTTAGGATGTAGGTACCTACCACTATTTGAACATCCAAATGTTGAAATCCCTCTGCCCAAGCAAAAGCACAAACAAAACCCTTGAATGTAGAGTCATATGACCCTTTTCAACACTCACCTATCACAATCCCCTAGCACGTGTGCACGCACGCGCACACACACACACACACACACACACACACACACACACACACACACACACACTTTCTTCTCCATAGCTCAGTGAGGACAGTAAAGATTCAGATACAGCCAAGACAACCCACCCATTGTCTCTCCTCTTCTCTGGCTCATCAACAATGACAGCATAGACATCTGGGACTCACCACAAGTTCACTGAACATGACATCCAGCTCCTCCACAGGGGGCATGGGCAGTGCTGGCTCCATGGTCTGAAGTGCAAAGTTGCTATCATTTCGAAGCCGATATGTGATTTCTGGGTGGTCATTGTTTCGGAAACAGCAAAAGATAAACGAAATCCCTCGTCCACCTCTCTTCCTTGGGGCCATGGTTGAATTTTCTCCTATTTCTTGATATTACTAAACTCTGTAAAAAGACGACATGACATGGTTGAGTATGACAGACAAAAAATTTTTTTGAAAAATCAAACCAATTCAAAAGCTCCCTGTGTTTCTGGCAACGTGTCGACTCTACAGGAAAGGAGAAAACTCATGTCCTTCCATTCCCTTATTGAATGCTTCCTTAGGCCAACTGTGTACTAAAGGGCGGCTCCAGCTACTGCATCCTGCAACATGCTCTGACCAATGCAGCTGACGGCCATTCTTTGTATGGAATTCCTTTTCCTCAGGAATGACTGTTTCGAAAACTCTTTGCAGCAGACAGAAATCATTTCAGAAAATCACAGCCAAACAAAATGCAGAATTGTGGAGCCCAATCCCAATGGACACATCTACAAAATGCTCCCACACCTGAGGACCAGGGAATATTGCAGAATAGAGACCAGAAAGATTGTAAGAACCAAAGGATCAGGGAGTTTGCTGTGAGATTGTGTCTCCTAAAAGCTACACCCACAAAGTCTGACAAACATGATAGCCCAAATGTGAGCTAAATAAGGATGATATTAAAGAACATACCAAACTGAATGGGGAAAAGCCCACAAAGTCTCAATCCCACACACAAAGAAAAAAAAAACCCATAAGCAACTAAGCTGGGAATGGGAGACGTGGTCTTGCCTGGTGTCAAATGATCACTGTTGAAAACATGCATGTAAGCAACATTATATGAACTCAACAAGTTACATTTTGGAGTATATATATGTATGAAAAAATATATATGCATGCAATAACTATTAGTGAAAAAAGAGGTCAAGAATTTGAAGAAGAGTGGGAAAAGGCTTATGGGGGGAGGGGCTGGAGGGAGGAAAGGGAAGGGAGAAATATTGTCACTAAATTATAATCTCAAAAATAAACACCAACCACAAAAACAAAAATAAGAATGATTGTTTCTTCTTTGGCCCCTAGGAAATCTCATTGTCCTTGTTTTCAAGGATAATATAAAGCTTTATATTTTTTCTTTCATTTATTTATTTGTGGGAAGGGGCATTTTGTGCCACAGTTCATGTGTGGATTCTGGGGACAATTTGGGGTGTCAGTTCTGTCTTTCTAACATGAAGGTTCTGGCACTAAACCCAAACTCAAGTCATCAGTCTTGGTGGCAAGTGCCTTTACTTGTTGAGCCATCAAGTCAGCCCTCAAACATCCTTTAAAGTCCTATTTCAAATTATGTCACCTTCCTTAGGTTGACTTAATAATACTGAATAGAGGCTCCTTGGACATCCACCTATCTGTCCTAACACGTGTGCAGTCCTGTTCTTTTTTCTGTACCTTCTGTTAAATAGTAATAACTCAAGCACATGGCCTAATGTACCTTGTCTAAAGCCAGAAACAGAGGAGTCACTCTGTAAATATTTACCATAATTGAAGTTAATGACAAATCAAGAGCTTTAGGCATTATCACTTTTTAAAAGAAAGACAATAAGGGAAATATTGAAATAACTGACAGCAGGTTCACAATAGAATATTATGAATTCATTAAACAGAACAAGACATCCAAATATATAAGTAAAAAACAAGCAAGTTCAAATGCTATATAGTACACAAACTCTACCCTGCAAGGTTACAGGATGTTCTCAGAATATATTAAGATTTTTGAATATATACAAAGATACTAACAACAGTAGCCTCAAAAATAAAAAGGTTTAGGGAGCTGTGCCTTTCTATCTTGTACCCCTTTGGATTTTCACCATAAGTGTTTTTAAGGAGTTGAGTACTTTCTGAGCTACAACCATATTTTGTCTTGGAATTATTTCCAAGTGATCCAATCAAGGGAAAAACCAAGTCCAAGGAAACCCATGTCCTGAGTGCTACCACAGCACATACCGAAAGCAATCTCATTGACAGGAAAGCACACACTGGGAGGTGACTCAGTGAGTGCAGCGCTTCCCTCGGGAGCCCAACCTGAATTAGGAGCCCCATTCCACGTAAGTAGTCCCAACAGGCCTGTAATGTCAACGTGCCCCTACCAGGAGATGGAAACAGACAGGAGAAGCTAGATGCTCTCCAGAGGCTATCCTAGCTTATGCAGCAGGAGACAAGAGATCCGTCTCAAGCAAGGTGGAAGATGATAGGGTCAATACACTTTAGAATCATGGACAGATGACTTGCTGAAGAGCTATAGAGAATGCCAAGCCCCTCCCAGGGGGAAGACAGCTGATTTCAGAGATGAAGTCAATGATACCATGTTCATAATTAAAGACAAAGCAGTTTGTTCTCCCACACAGGGCTAGCAGATGGCAGGCACTTCCTAAAAGACAAGAAAAGACTCAAGGGGGAGGAGAAGATCTGCATCTACCTAAACTTGAACTGATCTCTGGGCTGATATACAGAAACAGGCTCAGAACTGTGCTGCCTCCAAGGTGGAATTGAAAACCAGTGGGCCACAGCTATGGGAGACACAGGCAGTCTTCTGTGAGTGAGTGAGTGAGTGAGTGAGTGAGTGAGTGAGTGAGTGAGTGAGTGTGTGAGTGAGTGTGTGTGTGTGTGTGTGTGTGTGTGTGTGTGTGTGTGTGTGTGTGTGTGTGTGTTGGGGGGATAAGGTGACCCTGGATGGCACTGTTATTTTCAAACAATTCCTCTTAGGAATGCCCAGGACAAATATTACACTTTAACAATCTGAGAAATTAAAAAGAACATGTACAGCTAGCTCCTGTCTCCTGAGCCTCCACAATCTGTCCCACCTGCCTTTCCACCTTACCTTGGGTAACTGCATCTAAAACACACTGATCATGTTGGTTTTGCAGCAACAATGTCAGAGACTGGCAGGTTTAGGTCTACTTCGGTACATGGCTGAATCCTCATGATAAAGCACCAGCACTCTCTCAAAGAGGCCACCCCAGTTATGGTCTACAGCAGTTATCTTTCCATATTCCATGCACTATCTTTCCATCCTGATAAAGTTCTTCATAGCAGTTGCCGCTAGTTGGAATATCCTATGTGGTTATTTTATGAAGGAAGAGTCATGATAGTAAATACTTAAGGAATACTTGTTAGTATCCAGGCATCTCTTGGCCTGTCCTTGGGGTTCTGACAGGATACGCCCTCAGCTGCAGTCACTAAGAGCACCACCTGTGCATATTCACTATGTTCTCCCTTTATTCACAGGCCACTTCCTATGCCCCCCAAAAATCTTGAACTCCTGTCATTTTCTACCTAGGTAGCCCCTTGTTCTTCATGACTTCTGTCAACATCCTCCCGCTCTGCCAGTACCAGTCTCCAGAACACTCAGGCTGTGAGACACATCTGTGGCTGATGGCAGCTGGAACCTGGTTCAATATTTCTGAAAGCAACCTATCAAAGCCTTAAAACAGGCACACATTCTGACCTAGTATTTCTGCTTCTAGGAATATACCCTAAATGCTCGCTCAGAGACACAATCAAAGATGTTCTCTCTCTTTCTTCCTCTCCCTTTCCCTCCCCCCTCTACACACACACCAAACCATTATCCAAAACAGACAATAAATAGGAGCATAAAATAAGTGATAATGATGGGAAATCATGTAAACAATGTTATAATGGCAGAAAGATGGTGGATCAGCAGCAGCTATTTGTAGGAAGATACTTAACGACATGCTCATAACTATAGACATACAGTATCACATTTTTATTGAAAGTCCACGTTCATAAAAGCATAAGAAGAATGGGAGAAATTTATCAATATCATCAGCAGTTGACTCTGATATGTGCAGATCACCTTGACTTTTGAAGACATAACACCTCTAATATGGCCCATATTGCTATAATGAAGGCACACTATTTGCACCATTAATGAAGAGATTTTTTAAAAATAATTTATGTGATTATTTGCTAGCTTTAAAAAAGGAGGAAGGTGTGAGAAAATGTCTATTAAAAATACTCAAAAGAGAGATGCATCAGGCCCCATGTTACATCCCCAGCACTGCTAGAAGAACAAAGTGGAGGAAGAAAATATCCAGTTGATTGGATATTAATTGGTGATTTTTATAACTAGTTTGTCAGACTACCTGTGGGGAAGGACTAGTTGTTTTCCTGTAATCTGCTGCAAATGGCTATTTTTACAATACACAGCATAAATAGCCCAGCAACGGCAAATCACTGTGGAAGTTTCTCTAGTCAGCAGCTCTCTACATATGGGCCATGACCCCTTTGGGGGTCATATATCAGATACCTGCATTATCAGATATTTACATTACAATTCACAACAGTAGCACAACAGGAGGAACTGTATTAAAGGGCACAGTGTTAGGAAGGTTGAGAAGCACTGCTCTTGCTAATCTCATGTCTTGCACTCTGATAGACAGCTGATGCACACTAGGTCAAAGGAGTCATGACTTAGCTCATTAAACTGTAACTCTTGGTGTTTGTCTTTGGTACGTGTCAAAAGGGCAGAAACCACCATCTCCTTGATAGCCAGGTCAGTGTCCTACAAATCCTATTAATAGTAAACTGAAGAGACTGTTCAGGTCAAGGTCTGTGTGGTTAGGTGGAGTGATAGGCAGAATACTTAGTCTTCTGGGAAATAAAGGCAAGAAAATGAAAGAGTTTGAAATACACAAGGGGCGGCACTCTGGGGGTCGTAAGGGCCAAGCTCAGGCTTCAAGTTAATGTTTAGCCACTTCTTCCAGGCAGTCTTGCTAGCTACCAAACCTGTCTGAATCCTCACAGCATTTCATGATACCAAGATGCACAGCTGATGGTTACAGTCATCTGTGATGTTGATCTTTCTCCCCTCTTTGAAGGAGTCAACTCCATGAGGACAAATGCCCAAAGCATACGTTGCTTAATACCTCACATACAAGACTGACCAAACAACTTGGAAATTTTGCTAAGTTATTTTTTGTTAATTCAAGCTATACTACATTCTGGTTGTATTGAAGGGCCAGGGAATAGTGTTAGAGCCTAAACCTCACTCCCAAGTCATTTTTAAATCTTAAAAGGAGAATACCATCCTACAAAGAGAAGAATATGAAGAAGGTATGACTAATTCTAACA